GTATCTTCAGAGGAAACTCCTAGATATGGGATGGCGAGGTTAGGAAATCAAAATATATCTGATTTGTTCAGTATTGTCACGTTCCCCTCCTCTGCGGTGGCACTATGCTGCATCCCACCTGCAGTGTATGCGAGTGCCTGTTTCTCCAGAGTGGTCAAACTTTTCGACTTTTGCCAATTTGATAGGTAAAAAACTGGATGGAGCTTTTAAAAATACAAAAGCATAGTCCTCACGCTAGCGATTCTTATTCAGTAGTTTGGGCTGGACCCTGGCCATGTGAATATATATATTCTTAAATTCCCACTGGCGATTTTGTTGCATATCCAGGGCTGAGAGCCACTGTGCCAAATTTCCTTCGCTATTCCCACAAGTAGTTAAATGAGACTGCCAACACTGGACACCATTTAATTGTTTTATCCTTTTGCTAATTTCTTACCAGCTTTTCTTTTTCCCTCTTCTCTGTTCTTCTGTACTTGCTGCCTCCTCACCCAGACTTCTGTCTTTCCAAGCGATTCTCTCTTCCCTTCTCTGTTAAGGCCCCTGCCTGCTCAGACCTGAGGTCCCGTCCCCGGACCTCAGGGAGGTCACAGAGCCTTGACGTTGTGGTCTTCAGGTTTCTGACTTTCGGGAGCAGCTGCTGGCATGTGCTGGGGTGGAAGCCGAGCGACTGGTGGAGTTTTCCTGTGGTGAGGATCCATGTCCAGGGTTGAATGGGCCACATAGTCACTCATGACCCCGTGTTGTCATAGTTGAACCATATGCTGTTATCAGGCCTACGGGGCTGAGGAAACACGGATGGGCATCTCATCCTTTGCCAGCTCTCTCTGAGCTTGCCATCTCCATGCTTTCAATGCTCTGTGCCCCCTCTGTCTACCTGGGAGAGTTCTGAGCATTGCTGTTTTAGTGTGGAAACTGGTGGGTGGGTAAGTGATAGAAACCGCTACTCCTGGCCTGGAAGGCAAGGGTTGAGCAGTGCTCTTTCTGGACTCAGCCTTGCACTTCCAGTTCTCAGCCTCTCTCTGGGTCTCCCCAGGTCACGTGATCCCTCCAGACAACATCCTGCCCCTCGTCCTCTGCAGTGGGCCCTCCAACCAGCAGCTGGAATTTACATACCTGAAAAGAGAGCTGCCTCAGATGGTTAGTACCAGCCATCCTGCCTCACCTTGGCCTTTGCTAGGGCAGGAGAGAGATTTCTGGGGTGGGGATATGCTGGCCAATCCCGAGTGTTCAAGCATTGTGGAAGTTAGTACTGGTCCTCATCACAGAGCTGGTACAGGATGAATAGTGGCACAGGATGAATAGTGTCTAGGTGTTTATCAGGAAGGTCTGAGTTTCCCCGCACCCTTCACCTCTGAGGCTGCTAAATAACTTTTCTTGTCCTGGCCACTGTGGCTCAGTTGGTTGGAGCATCGACCTGTGTGCCAAAGGGTCCTGGGTTCAAATCCTGGTCAGGGCACATACCCAGGTTGCAAGTTTAATCCCTGGTGGGGGCATGTATGGGTGGCAGCCAATCAATGTTTCTCTCTAAAGAATCAATGAAAGGTATGTCCTTGGGTGAGAATTTTTAAAAATAGTTTTCTTGACATCTCCAGCCATCTCTTTAGGATGAAGTTCATGAGAAACCATTTCCTTTTGCCATTGGGTCATATCGAGCCCTGCCTAGCAGGGATGCCAATACTAGGGGCACTTCTCTAGTGGCATGCCTGGGTTTCCAGTGCCCGATTTGTCATAGATGGTGCCTAATCTCCAGTTGCCCACAGGACGTTGGGAGTTGGGGAGGACTTAGCACACCAGTAACAGGTGCAGCTCATTGTGCTGGGCTGCGGTGTGTCAGACGCTGCCAGGCACCAGGAGCAGCAGTGGAGTGTGTTTGGAGGGAGGTGGCACATTCCAGTCTGTGATTCCCAGCCAAGGGGCGCCACCTGGCCATAGGCCTCCTTGACCGCACTCACCCGTGAGTCTCTGTACTTGGTTCTGAGCCCTAAGGTTAGGAGATTTTTTTGGGTGTGGCTTCAGGAGTGGCCCCATGGGGGGCCTCTTGTCTTCCTTTCTTAGATGGACGAGACAGGTCGCATCCTCTGCAACTTGTGCAACGTGGTGCCTGGAGGGGTGATCTGTTTCTTCCCCTCCTATGAGTACCAGCGCCAGGTCCATGCCCACTGGGATAAGAGTGGCCTGCTGGCCCGCCTGGCTGTCAGGAAAAAGGTGAGTGACCCCTCAGCTGGACCTTCCACTCTGGGGATGGTGACCCAGAATTCCCGTGGGATTTCTCCTGCACATCAAACTGGGTGGTCGGGCCTCCCATATGGGGGCGTCTCCCACCACTTCTAATCCCTGGTCACTTCCCAGAGGAGTCCCCAAAGCCCAGGATGGAAAACAAGGTTTGGAGCAGATCTATGAGCCAGGCATCCTGAAACCCTGTTCTGGGAGATGTCTGTTTACTTTCAGATATTTCAGGAACCCAAGCGAGCAAACCAGGTGGAACAGGTGCTGACAGAGTATTCCAGGTGCATTCAGGTGAGAGCTGGAACCCAGGCCTTGGGTCCAGACCTGTGGGGTTGGCAGCTGAAACCCTCTGGATGGCGTCCCAGCTTTGTGCTGTTCCTGCAGTGCCATGGCCAGGCAGGAGGCATGGTGAATGGGGCCCTGTTGCTTTCGGTGGTTGGAGGAAAGATGAGTGAAGGCATCAACTTCTCTGATGACCTCGGGCGGTAAGTAGTGGGCTTCCCATCTCCCGGGACTCTGATCCCCACCTACCCCTCACTCCAAGCAGCCCTCCCTCCCCCTGCAATCTGCTGCCACCTGAGTCTGCACCTGGGCTGACAGCACAGTCAGCTGCATGGGGAAGTGATTCCGTAGCTTTGGGTGTGGCCCCTTGAGGCCAGGTGGAAAATTAGGCAGATGGTAACTTTATCAGAACTCAATTCCCTGGCCTAGATTGACTCTCTTAGCTGAAAAACCCCTTTCCAGGTGGTATAGGGTGGGGAGGGAGAGGGAGAGCCACTGAGCACAGCTGAGAACTGGAGTGGTCGGCGCAGCAGCTGTCATGTGGGTGAGGACCCGGCCCTTCGTCCTGGGCCTTGTGAACCCCAGGTGCCTTTGGCTCCTGTGTGCCTCCACCCAGGTGTGTGGTTATGGTGGGCCTGCCCTACCCCAACATCAAGTCTCCAGAGCTCCAAGAGAAAATGGCCTACCTGGACCACACCCTTGTGAGTACCTTCACGTTCTGGAGGATGGGCGGGAGGGGGGAGAGCGCTGTAGCCTCTAGGGCTAAGATAGGCTGTCACTTCCCCCTGCCCTTGCTGTGTGCTCTGGAGGGAATGGCACATCCTCCATACCCTCTTGAGCTTCTCAGGACATCATCCATTCTGTCAGCTGTTGGCATTGTGCCTGTGAAGCCGACTGGTCTTGCTCAGAGCCTGGCAGTGTCATTTTCTAAGAACACTAGGCAGGGGACAAGAAACAGTTCTGATAGGTCATCTCCTTTGCGCTTCCCAGCCCCGAACCCCAGGTCAGGCCCCCCCAGGAAAGGCTTTGGTGGAGAATCTATGTATGAAGGCTGTCAACCAGTCTATAGGTAAGTCGGGGACTGGCCCTGGATGAATAGTTGGGGAGGGATGGATGAGGAATGAGGTGACAGGATGGGATTTTACTTACCATCTCTCTAGTCTGAGATCCGAGGAGGGGAAAGGGACACAGTAGAACGTACTGTCGGGTTTATTAATCAGAGCCCCAACCTGTCCCATCCAGGGAGGGCCATCAGGCACCAGAAGGATTTTGCCAGCATAGTGCTCCTGGACCAGCGGTACGCCCGTCCACCTATCCTGGCAAAGCTGCCAGCCTGGATCCGAGACCGTGTGGAGGTCAAAGCCACCTTTGGTCCTGCCTTTGCTGCTTTGCGGAAGGTCAGTCCTGCCTTTTCCTTCCTGAGAACACTTCCACCAAGATCCCCACCTGGTGTCTCACTGTCTTTCCCTGTCTCCCCAGTTTCATCACGAGAAGTCTGGCCTTTCCTGAGGGACGGCTGCACCCGTCTGGAATGCAGACCAGCCCTTGTGGAATCCCTGGTTGCAGGATCCAGGAACAGGTGCAGAAGCCAGTAGGCGAAAATGAGGTCGATCCTGAACAAGCAGTGGCTCCTGGCCATCCTTGAGCCCGTCCCAGGGCAGTTCCCCTCCCTGAAATTGGGTCTTTCTTCCTGTTCACCACACCCAGTTGAGCGCCCCCCCTCCCCCCCCACCGGCCAGCTTTCATGGGCAACTGTGGAAGCTGCACCTTCCACTTCAGCGTCTGCCCACGCTTGTTTCTCAGCACCCACTTTCTCAGAGGCAAGATGGAGCAGGCCTCTCCTGCCTCTCCCTTTTCTCTCCCCTTTTAGCTAAAATTCATGTTCTAGACCTTTACTTTTCCCTCCGAATTGAGAATATTCCCCATTTCCAGCCCCTGGTGTCCTGGGCTCTTCTGCCCTCCGGCTGGTTACTTTGACCCACTGCCACCTGGGGATTAAGCACCATCTCTGACAAGTCAGGCACTGAAGTCATTTGGAAGTGGGAGCAGAGCTGTGTGCGGTGCTCCCCGCCTGCTGGCCCCTAACCTGTCCCACAGCCCTCCACAGCATGCTACCTCCTGGGCTGGTTCCAGGTCCCTCCAGTCGGTGGGGCCTCTCTCCCTCTCAGCCACTTGAGCAAACTCCAAGATACCTCTTTCCCTGGCATCAGCAATTACACCAAGGGCCATTAGGCTCTCAGCAGGACTATTTTTAAATACGCTGTCTGTCACTGAGACACTTTTTCTGTATGAAAATATCCCTCCCTCCATCTGCAACAGCTGCCCTGTTGACTATACCTCTCTTCCCTGGCCCCAGAGAAAGGGGGCTTGGTCCACTCGGCACCTTGCTCCATTGCCTGAGACCAGGGGGAGCAGGACAGGCCCTGGCTTGGAGACGTTTGCATTTCTGCACAGCTGTAGTTCCTTAATTAAAAGTGCACTGTTGGTTGATGCTCAGTTATATTTCTTTATTGATTTGTGTACTGCTGTACCTCAGTCTCAGGGACTAGAGGAGCATGCTAGTGAAGGAGGTGGGTGGAGCACAAGCAGAAAGTGAATGCCTCCTCCCAACACCCTCAGAAGCCAGCCTCCCTGCTCCTTGAAGATGGTCCAGGCACAGACCTGGGTAGTCCTCTGTGACCCCCATCTCTCCAAGGGCAGCAGGGGCTGAGAGATCTTCAGGCCAAGGAGCCCATCCCAGCCGTTTCCATGTGAGGACAAGAGCCTCAGCCTGGGTCTGGTGAGAATAAGTGGCTGCTGAGCCCCTAGGATTCCCAGTCCTCCTCGTCCTCCTCTCCAGGTGGCTGCTGCGGGGGGGGCAGAGGCGGGATGGAGTCTGACATTCGGGCGAAGGCTCCTCCTGGCCCCTCGTTGGCCTCGGCCCCAGGTCCTTTCCCAGAGATGCCTGGGAGGGAAAAGGTGGAGGGTGAGGGGGTTGTTTGGGGAACCAGTTCACCCAGCCGCTAGTCTTAGAAACAGGAAGAAAAAGGCAGAGTGTGTATGACACACCCCAATCCCTGGCCTTGGGAAGCAGTAGTGCTCTGTCCTACCTTTGCGCCTCATGACCAGCTTGTTAAAGAGATCCGACATCAGGTCGCCGCCTTGGCCCGTCGCTCTCACTGCAACAGGAAAACCATGGGTGACGGAGGAGGAAGGGACCAGTGTGAAACCTGTTCCTGGGTGACAACCTCAGGGTTTAGTCATATTTGTCCTCTTTTTCTTCACGACTGACACACCCCAGCCCCCCACAGCCATCATGTTACCACCAGCTCTTGGATCCAGCACCAGGGCACTGATGAGAAAATGGGTAACATTTGAGTAACACTGTCACAGCCACCCTGTGAGACAGGGCATGAATTTGCAGCCCACAGTATGGATGAGGAAACCAGCTCAGAGACGTTAGGGTTTGCCTGGGTCACAGTGCAAAGCTCAGAAGCAAAGCGAGGACTCAAGCTCAGGACTGTTGACATCCAGGACACAGTTGCTTTATGCCAGGTGTTATATGGATGCAAGCAAGCATCACAGAAGTAATCTGTGGCCTCAAGGGGCTTGGAAAAGCAAGACTGAGCCATCGGTCCAGGTCCTCTGTCTCTCAAGTATCTCGGGTCCTGACCGTTTCCTCAGACAGCTGGCAGGGTAGATTTTCTCTTATTTGGCCCCTACCAGCTTAGAGAGGAAAGCAGGCTCCAAACCCCAGCAGGAAGCCTCCCCCAGAGGCAACGATGTTAGGGTGGCCACCCAGGGTTTACAGCAAACACCCTGGGGAATAGAGGGCAGGAGTTTTGACACTTGGGTGGCAAAGAGCACCCTATTGGAGTCTGGTGGTGGTTAAAGAGGCGGGCCCTTTTCTTAGAGCCCTACTGGAGGGGTGTAGGGTCCCCTCACCTTGCTCCTGCTCCTTCTGTTTCTTCTTTTCCAGCTTGCGCTCCTTGACACTGCGGAGCTTGGCCTTGCCGATGCCCCCAGCCTGGCGGATAGACTCCAGCAGGGTGGCCCGGCCACTGGAGGGGTCCACTACTTCCTTGGGAGCCCCCTGGACTGGAGCTGGGGGTGGGGAAGGAAGGCTGCTCAAGCAGGGCTAGGCTGTGGGACAGCCCTGCCCAGCCCACAATTCTAGAAGCCCTCAGCAGCTGGCTGTGAGGAGGGGCTGTTCCTGAAGAGGAACCCAGCTGGTGAAGCCGGGACTTCGGTGAAGCCTGATCTCAGGAAGTCCTGGGTCCAGGCACCGGTCCCTCTCCAATCCTTACCCAGCTTAGGTGCCACCCTGCAGAGGTGAACCCTGGGAATTCCTCATGTGCTGAGGATCTAAATGTGACACATGCCCGCTGCTGCTCCTACCTGAAGGAGACACTCTGCTGTCATCCTTGGCACCTTGACCTGGAGTGGGCACAGTCTGCGGTGGGGGTGGGGGCGGGGGAGCGCTGGCCAGCACCGCTGGAGCTGGGGGAGGTGGGGGTGGAGGTGGTGGTGGCGGAGGTGCTGTTAGGACCCCATCTTCTAGGTCTGAAACAAGTAAAAAATGTGAGGTGGCTGGGGAAGAAAGAGGCCCAATTCCCATTCGTGGTTCTCACTCACCTGGCTTGAAAGGCCCAGCCACCTCTGTGTGGAAGGCGGGCAGCTCTGGAATGGTGCCAGGGGCAGAGGGGGCAATGCCAGGGCCCAGATCAGCGCTGTACATGAGGTCATCAGCGATGCCTGGCAGGTCGGGCAGGTAGGACGGCACGTCGATCTCAGGTACTTGGCCCAGGTCAGGTACATAGAAGTAGTTCTCTGGAACCTGCAGAATTAGGTGGGGGTACGTGAGTTGGGGTGCTGCAGGGGTCATGGGCCCTGCCGTTTGACCTTGGGACAGTCAGTGGGGCTCAGGTGGGATAAGGGGCTCCATAGACCCCTTGCCTAGAAAACCCTAGCAGGGCCCTACATCCTCAACCACCTATACCCCCCACCCAAGCACAGTCATCTCTACCTGTTGCTCCAGCTGCTCTCTCTTGCTGATGGACAGAGGGGCATCGAATAGCTTCTCCTCTGTCTCTGCCCCCAGCATCACATGGGTCTTTGTTACAGCACCAGCCAGGGGGTCCAGGAAGACATACTTTTTGTACCTGGAGAGGTGAGGTGGAGGTCAGGGGATCTATCATCTGTTCTAGGCCCATGGCCCTGACCTACCTTTCCTACTTCATCAGGGGCTACAGTTAGTTTGTACGGTGGATTCCCAGGCCTTACAAGGCAAAGCAAACTGGTCCTGGCCTTGCAGGCTGCAGACTTTTGCTGCATCTGAGTCTGATGTCCCTGGGGCCCCCAACTAAGCCAGCCAGGACTCCCACCACCCCTTTGTAGCCCCCCTTCTGGCCATACAGGTTCTCAGTGGTGTTGAAGAGCAGCAAGGAGCTGACGGAGTTGATGTTGCTGGGAAGACCCCCGAGCCCCTCCTCAGCCTCATCCTCAGGTTCCAACTTGGTGTTCACACACACAGGGAAGTATTTCAGCTTCTCCTGGGGGTGGGGCAGAAATGTGACAGGGGGATGGTGGTTACAGGGCCAGACCAGTGACCTCCACCCCATCCCGTCAGAATCCTCTTGGGGGACGAACCCTATGGTGGGCCCTTAGTTCCTCCCCCACATCCAGTACTGCCACTTGCCACTGGTCACGCCCCGCAAGTGTGTGAGCTGGGTGTGCCCATCAGACCTGCAGGGCCCGCTCATCCAGGGGGCGGTGCTTGCTCTGGATCCGGTGGCGGGGGCGTCTCTGCAGGCCAAAATCCTGGGCACCCGTAAAGATGGAGCTGTACTCCTGCAGGTGCTCTGGAGCGGGGTACTTGGCACTGGAGAACACCTGTGGACATGGAGAGTCTGACATCACTTTTTCAGGGGCCCCGAGAACTTCCAAAGAGCCTAGGTTTGGGATGAGGGGATTCTGAGGAGAAGGAAAGCTTGAGTTCTGGCTGGACAGTAACGGTAGGGATGTGGGCAACCTCAGAGGCACAGGGATATGGTAGAGAATGGGATATCTGTGATGGGCCATCAGCCACAGGGACATATGGGCTACCTTGATGGCCTTCTTGCTGCCTTTGATCTTCTCAATCTTGGCCTGGGCCAAGGAGACCCTCTCCCCAATGGCCTGCAGCTGGCTCCGGCTCAGCTCTACTCGCTGGGAGATCCTGTCATGGAAAAAAATGACAGGTCCAGGGGCTGCTCCTCAAACCCCTGCAGCCTCCTGCATACCTCCTGCTTCTAACAACAAACCTGCAAAAACCCAGGGACTTAAGCAAAGGGTCTTAAAAAAAAATGTTATCTGCTTATCAGGGTCAATCTTGGAACTCTCAGGTGACCTCCCAAAGATCATCCAAACTGAAGGGTCTAATGTACTGCATTGTGTTTCTTGGAGCTCTGGGTAGGGCTGGGCAATTACCCTGGTGCCTGCACATGTCACCTGAAGGGACATTGTTCCTGCCTCCCAGAGTCTGCAGCCTCAGACTGGGGCAAGTAGAGGCAGAATCTTCATGAGTGACATGGACACAATCACCTATTTACAGACAAGGAAACCAGAGTTCAGCAAGACTGAGTGACAAGGCTGGACCTAAATTCAAGTCCTCGACCTGTTCATGTCTCTTGGGAGTGCATCCCCAATCCTGACCAAGGTTCTCAAGGCTATGGTCTGGCTGCTCACGGGCTTCCTCCCCTTCCTTCCTACCCCAGTCAGTTGGCTGCAGCAACACCCGCTGCCCGGGTATCCCCCGAACATGCCAAACTCCTGTTGCGCGGCGTTTGCATCAAATGCTGTCCCCCAACATCCACACACTGGCTCCTTCACTGCGCCCCCTCACGAAGCCTTCCTGACCACAGAATCTGAAAAGGCAATGTCACTTCCCAACTCCCACCCATTCTTTCACACAGTGCACTTGACACTGTGTCCCTTGCCTACATGTGCTCCGAAGGACTGAGGACTCTGCTTTATTCCTGGGTATTCCCAGTGCCCAGGGCAGTGCTGGACCTCTCAGGCCCCTCTGTGGTTCCTGATGACTAACACCCATGTGCCCTAAATGTAAGTGCACAGGAGCCCCACTTTTGCTGTCCCCACGTTACTCAGCAACAGCAAGGGTCTTCTCGCTGCAGCGTTAACCCTGGCTCTCGTGTGCCAGTCTATCCTTCCTCCATAGGCTCCCCCACCTCCCAGAACACCAGTTCCTGCCATGACCACCACGTTCCACATTCAGAGCGGCCACATCTCTGCATTCACCTGGCAGGAGTGAGCACACAAGTGAGGCAGAGTTGGAAGTTGAGTATCTGGGGAAAAGTGGGGAGGATATGGTGGGTGGCAGAGTGGCCTCACTGCCTCTGCGGTGGGGGGCTGCAAGGTTAAGGGACTCTGAGATTTCTCTAAAAGTTGAAAGGAGCAGTCAAGACTGGCCCAGCCTTCGTAAAGCATCCCCACCCACTCTCAAAGGGTCTTGTCCCTCCAAAGAACCCACCTCTCCATCAGACAATTTCACAACCCAAGGGTCTCCGTCCTGACAAAGTCTCCCTGATTATGCCTGGCTCCTCAAGTGCCAGAGGTGGAGTGGGGTGGAGGCTGGGATACAAGCAGGCAGCTTAGTTTTCCCTGACAGACTAGTCTGAGTGGGGCAGCAATGCAGATAGACGGGCAGTTTCCTTCCAACGAGAGAACGTAAAACCACCCATCTTTCCAGCATGGGCTCCCTCTTTTCCGCAGGGAGAAAGGTCTTCATTCACTAGGAAGGCATACTTGATCAAGCTGCTTCGTCCAGTTCCTACCTCTGTCACTCTGGCCCTGGGTGCTGAAGCACCTTAGTGGTTATGTAACCACTCCTCTTGGAGTCAGTGTGGAGAGGGAGGGGCATGAAACCCGGAGATAGGCTACTCTGTTCTGCTTCTTCCATTAAGGAGAGAAGGGCCAATTCCTTAAAATTGTAAACATCAAGCTTAACAACAAACCCTGGCAAATATCCAGAATGGATTATTAAATAGAGTGTCTGTAAGCACTTAGAAAAGGAAGAGGCAGGTCCGGGGGGCCAGCACTGTTCTAAATTCACAGCATTTCTTACTTAGACAGGGTTATTAGGCTCGTGTATCAGGGGAAAACCTTAAACACAGTGCATCTTGAGTCAGCAAGGATTTCGATGGCGTCTCACAAAATCCTGCAGACAAGATGGAGCTATGGGGGTTGGGGGAGAGTACACTTGAGAAAACAAGGCCAGATGAACAACAGTCTCTGAAGGGCACTGCAGAGAATGGGCTGATTTCGGCTGCACCAAGGTATCTGGCAGGGCCCAGTCCAGCTCAGTCAACACTGGGGATATCAAACGGGGGATGTCAAACGGGGAGGGTCAAAAATGGTCTGCATGGTGGAACCTAGGCTCAAATAATCATTTCAATCCAGAAGGATGCAATGCAAGAAACAAGATGAAATTGACAAGGTGTGAACGGGAAGCCCAGCATTCAGGTTAAAGTCAAGCGCATATACAGAAGGTGGAGGCTGAACAGTAGCTCAGATGAAGAAAGGCCTAAGGTTTTGGTTAACCATAAACTCAGAATGAGTTAAAAGAATGTTAAGCAGCTTAAAAAGGAAATACAGCCCTGGCTGGTGTTTTCAGTGGTTAGAGCATCGGCCCGCCCACTGAAGGGTGTGGGTTCAATTCCCAGTCAAGGGCACATACCTGAGGTGCAGAGTCAATCCCTGGCCCTGGTTGTGGCACATGTGAGAGGCAACCAATCGATGTGTGTCTCTCACATCGATGTTTCTCTCTCTCTCCCCTCCCTCACTTCTACTCTCTAAAAATCAATGGAAAAAGTATCCTCGGGTGAGGATACATAGCTCCTGGTCTATCTTCTCCCTTTTTAATTTTTTTTAGAGAAGAGAAATATTGATTTGTTCCACTTATTTATGCAATGGCCACCGTAAGGGTGGGGGATGGTGGCAAAAGGGCAATTGTTTGCCATTCCTGATCTACAGCCCCTGGCTTGGTGGCAAACTTCAAAGTAGGTCAGTTTCCAAGCTAATCACTGAAGCCTTGTACAATGTCCCATAGACATGGGTTAACATCTACTTAGTAGCAGAGTGACCTTGGGCAAGTCACTTAATAGGCCTATGCTTCAGTTTCTTCGGCTGAAAAGTAGGAGTAGTAGCTTCTATATTATGGAATTATCGTAAAAGTTAAAATGAACAAATGTAAGTCCAGTGTTCCTGTATTAGCTGACATATCCTAAGTACTTGGTTAACATTTGCTCTTACTAAGATGCAGAGAGGGATGAGAGACTCCAGACACTCAGGGGAAGCCAGAAGAGGCAGTGATGGGCAGACAGAGAAGAAAGTCCCAGCCAGGAAATAAATACTTTGCAAGAGACCACCATGGAGAGCAGAGGGCAGAGCAACAGTAAGTCGCTCCCCGGGCTGGGGTGGGAGGCATCAAGGAGGCACCTAGGGACCGCCCTGCTAGTGTGACAGAGGGAGGGGGACAGGTTGGCTAGGGCAGTGCTTGGGCTCCCTGTGCGGACTCTTCCAACACTGACTCTCCATCCCCCTGTTTATGAAGCCAGGCAGGCCCCTGGCCCCTGCAGTGCTGCCCTGGCTCTTCACAATCAGATCAGCTCTTCACAATCAGATCGCATGCCAGTCCGCAGAGGCAGGCTGCTGAGGGGAAGGAGGCACCCACTCCACTCCTCCATAATTGCTGCCTCTCCTCCCTGCCTGCCCTGTCCCCAGGCGCAGCAGACCCTGAACCTGGGCTCTTGCCTTCACCTTTATCTTCTCCACTCACAGGGATCATTTACAGGGATAATTAAGAATGATCTGCTAATTATGCAGGCAGCTGATTGAGTGCTTCCTAACCTGGAGAGTCACCAGGTGCCAATCAGTAGAGAGAAACTGGCTTTGGGGGGGGGGGGGGGGGGGGGGGTCGTTAAGAAGTAGAAAGACAGAAAAGGAAAAGGCTTTGCAGAGAAAATGGATCCTTACCCAGGAGGAAGGGGCTGCAGCTTGGCTGACAGGAATGGCAAGTGATAGCACCCCAACTTCCACATGCAGAATCTGCCCAGCTCCTCTTCCCCATGCCACTGCAGCACCCTCTGCCTCGTCACCTAAATCTTGTGAAGAAGGTGACATCTCTGGGCAGATATTTTTGGCCTGGCTTCTCCCAGGTGAAAAGGGCAGAGAAGCCAGGGACTGGGCTGGAAGGAGAGGCTCCAGGAGAGCCTGTAAGGTACTTGTCATTCTCTCCAGTCTCTGCACAGCTCCCACTGCGGCAAAGCAGGAGAAAGGAACGCCAGCTTGGAATGCTAATTTGCCATGAGCTCACCTACCTGCAGAACTGCACCCAGGTTCCACTGGGCCAAGGGGCCAGGCCTGAGCCTGAAATGGGAGAACAGTGGGGAGGAGAGATAGAAAGTGTCTCTTTTCTGCAAGGTTTACAAGCAGGAGGAGCATGTTTAAGGGGGGAAATTTCTAAGCTGGGGTTACATCCCACCATAAAAGCCCATTAGAAATGAAAAGCCCCCTAGCCTGTTGATGGCTACAGGATGGGGTGGGGCAGAAGAGAGAGGTTAGGTCTAGGCACTCCCCACCCCTGTCCCAGTCATCCCAGACTCCTCCCTTTTCCTCATCCTCATTCCCATTTTGTCATTGTTCCCTTTGAAATGTCTCTTATCCATCCCTCCCTGTCGGCAACTCCCCTGGACTGCAGCCTTATCCCTTCCATGCCCCGACCACACAACAGTCCCAGAATCCACTCTCACCTCTTCTTGTCCACTCTGTGACCACTGCTTGATGAACCTTCCCAAAACTCTTCTGTCCCATCACTTCTCTGCTCAAGCACCTATCCAGGCTCCCTAAAACTCCTGGATCAAGCTCAAAGTCCTGCCTTGTTCAGAGAAGCCCCAGTGGGCCCTGACTCACTTATCCCAACTTTTCACTCACACAACCTCTTCCCTCCCACTCCACTGCATGGAGCACGCCCACACTGCAGAAAAGAAGCCGGAAGCAAACTCTCAAGGGCACGAGATCAGAGGGGGAAGTGAGACCCATAGACGCATGGCAAGTTGAGTTCACACCCTGTTCTGTTCTGACTGTATGAGACAGGCAGCAATGTCTGTACTCTGGGAGCCAGGACACACCACCTTCTGGCCTCTCAGCCTTTGGCACACA